GTCACTCAGATGAGGCTGCATCACTGTTACCATGGATACGGGTTGTTAGGGCTAAGCAATGTCATCCCAGTTAATCTCCTTCTGTACAGAGACAATATTGACGAGGGACCAGCGAGTAATTTATTCAACTATTGGCTTTTTTTGCGTAATAGAAAACGTTGCACCTAAAATGGAATTTGAGAATTTTCTTCTGTAGAGTTTGTGTATTTTCTTATTAGAGGAGATTAAAGGTCCCGTATTACGTTAAATTGATTCTTGTGAGCTGTTACGATCCAAAAAGATGAGTCCCAACTTATTTAAAAAGGACAGAGAAACCAAATTAAAGATTAGAGTTTTTTTTGGGGTTTTTTTTTTCCTGGTAGATGTCTTGAAACCCCAAAAGAAACCCTTAACCCGTGTCCAAAAAGAACCAAGAAAAGTAACAACAGAAAGGTGGACCTGATGAGCCGGCCAAACAGAACAAAAGGGTCCGACAGTGGCCCGACTCTATACAGGGCCGTAGGAACCGGTGCCAGCTCCTGTAACTAAAGAAAAAAACAACAACAACCTAAACCCAACAGAAAAGCGAGAACAGGACAGAAGGTACCAGCAGGTCAAAACAAAAGGCTAATGACTAACAAAAACCTACCAGAACGAAGGAGCCATGTTAGATGTTGTTTCCTCCTCAAAAACAGACCTGGAGTTGTGTTTTGTTTCATTCACACATGTTTGAGAACCTTTATTATTAGTTTGTTTACATCTTACATCTTTACATCAAGCTCAAAATGCTCTGTTCCACCTTGTGATGTCATGAAACAGTAATTTTCAAGTTTATTTATTTATAAGCGAAGCCCCTTGAGATGTAGCATCTCGTGTGTGAGGGGATCCTAAATACATTAACAAAAATGTAACCTCGGCAACCTCTTTGACCAGACCCTTTCCTTTGAACACCACGTCAAATACATCACCAAAACCGCCTTCTATCACCTCTGGAACATTGCTCGTCACCGCCCATCCCTCTCCCCTCGGTCCGCTGAAACCCTCATCCACGCTTTTGTCTCCTCCCGCCTCGACTGCTGCAATAGCCTGGTCTACGGTTCACCCTCCAAACTCCTCAACAGACTCCAGTACATACAGAACTCTGCTGCCCGCCTCCTCACCCACACCTCCTCCTGTGAACACATCACCCCTGTCCTCAGAGATCTCCACATCTCCACAACCTGGCCCCCACCTACCTCCTGAGCTCCTCCACCACCACACCCCCGCCCGTGCCCTCCGATCAGCTGATGCCAACCTCCTGTCTCCCCCCACCAGGACTAAACATAAGACCTGGGGGGGCCGGGCCTTCTCCGCTGCTGCCCTCACCCTCTGGAACTCCCTGCCCAAACACATCAGAGACTCATCCACACTCCCCATGACCCCCAAAACCCATCTCTTAAAAAAAACAAAAACTTTCGTTAACTGTCTTTTTCTCTTGTTTGCCGTTGTTTGTCTTCTCATGTAAAGCGTCTTTGGGTATCTTGAAAAGCACTATACAAGTGTTATGTATTATTATTATTATTATTATAAAAATAGTGTTTACAGAAAAGAAAGAAAAAAACAAATCAAAACAGAACAAAAGACAAACACAACACAAAGACAACATTCATACTATACAATACAGGATGTTAAGATGTACATCTCTCTTGACAGCAACATTTTAACTTTAGTTCAGTAGAGATTGGCAATTCCATCCATTCATCCATTTTCTTCCACTTTATCCGGGGCCAGGTCACAGAGATGGATAGATTGGCAATGCCAAAAGTGAAATTATCCAAATGACTCCAGCGAAGTTTTACAGAGATACAGGTGGAACAGAGTCTTTTCTGAGAGAAGAACTCAGCCTAAATCTGCAGGTTTGCGTGAAATGTGTAAATGAAACAAAACACAACTCCAGGTCTGTTTGTGATGAGGAAACTACATTATAACATAGATCAGAAAATAGCGTCATATGGGTTCTTTAAAGTCTAACTTGAGTAACAGAGCTTCAGCTTGAGTAGTGCCTACAGTTATAATCTCTGAAAAGTTTCACATGAATCATCTCCAACGTGATAGAAGCACAGAACAGACTCACCATCAGCAGAACACCCCTCTGTCACAGAAAGAACACTCATATTCCACTGAGTCGTGTCCTTTAGTCCGACAGAAGCTGAACCACATCAGTGAACAACAGCGAGTTTATGCAACAGTTTATGCAAATTAGCCATGCGGTTTTAAGTTTAGACGTAAAAAAAATATGCTCAAAGCTGTGCGGATAAGGAAGACTTGCAGACACAGAAATGACGTGCCTGAATGCAAATCCTTTCTGATATGGTGAAATGGTGATTAGTTTCAGTGTAAACATAGTCTTAGTATCACACCTCCAGAGAATGTTGATGGCATTAAAACAGCTGTAGCCTGTACACATGCCCCATCTTACTTCCTCGTTCTCTGTCGTGCTTTCACCCGTCATAATGCTAAACCCGTACTGGCCACGTATGGCAGTTCAGAGGATGTTTCTAACCAAATACATATTCATTTTCTGAGTAAATTGTAAGTGAGCGTGGAAGTGTTCATAGCTGGGTGTTGGTGAATTCGGCACAACTGACGCTTAAGAAGGAATTTGGATGCGTACGAACACTTTGTGAATCTGGGGCAGAGTTCTTTCAGCATCTTCTTAAAGTGCAAGTTCCGAACATTTTTTAAGAAACAATTCATGAATGAAGCCCTCTGTCTCCAGTAGTTGAGTAGTTTTGGGATAACTTTCTTATTTCTTTTGTTTACCTTTGTTCATCTCTACTAGGGCTGTCGCAGTAACCGCAAAAATGAATCGCGTGACCCAACCCGGTGTCCTGCACAGGTCCACTGCAGGAGACCATTTGGAGACCCGTAACCGCCAGGACCGTTCACATTCCACCCGTTGCCTGCCCGTGCCCATGATAATTCACACACAAATTAAAAGCATTCTAACTGAAGCATCCATCAGAATAGGCCTACAAATTGAAAAGTTACAATTTCAATAATTACAATCACGAAATGAAATGAAACAGTTATGCATTCTTCAGTACGAATTCACAGACACGACTTGTCTGACATCACTTCACTGGCATTATTTACTGAGCAGAAAAAACACTGAACAAGATGCCACACTTTTGCGGAGCACATGGCATGGACTGAACCAGGACTAAACCAAAACTGAACCAGGACTCACTGTCGGGGTGGGCTCGGAGGTGTGTCCGTGTAGACCGTCAGGTGACCGCAGGCGAAAGGATAGGCATAGAGCTCGACGTCCCACGGAGGTAAACCTAGTCATCGCCCGATTGCTCTTTGTGGACACCCTGCTCCACGGGCTCGGGGTTCTGTCTCTCTTAAGTCCGCGGGTACCCGACCTAGTGCAAGACTCTGACCCGACCTGTCACAGTGAGCTGGAGAGATGGCAGCGGCACTTGTTCCAAAGCCAAATGTTACTTCTCCCCATCTACGCAACAAGTGCATCATCGGAGAGAGTTTTCAGTACCACTGGAAATATTGTAACTGGATGGGGATGGGGGGTTGGTATCCCCGCAGCACCGCAGGAGAAATTCCCTAACCGCGACAGCCCAAATCTCTACTTCTAAAGCACTACACAAGTGTTATGTATTATTATCATTAGTGCTGTCATGCGATAAAAAAAATTGAGAGATTAATTAATTATGATCTGTAATTAATTAATCTAATTAATCTCATTTTAATCTCACCTAAAAATTGCTGAGAAAAGCCTTCAATTTGAGGTATTTTCATTTAAATTCATTATTACATTATTGTGGCAGATCAAAAGACTGATATAGAACCAAAAAAGTGACTTTATAAAGTCATTTATTGTTTAACAAATCTCTCCAAATTGGCTGTTGAGCCCAAGTCTCCATGAATAAGAAACTGTTTGCTGTAAAGTAGCAAAGACGAGGAAATCTGAACATAATAACTTTTGTCGACTTAAAGACAATAAAAAGTCCAGTCTTTCCTTAACCATATTAAAAATATTATTGATAGAGAAATGCTTTATATATATGAGATCACTGGTTTTAGTCCTGGTTTAGACCTGGTTTAGTCCTGGACTGGATTAGTCCTGGTTTTAGTCTGGTTTTAGTCTGGTTTTAGTTCTGGTTTAGAGGTGTCACAGGAGGAAGCGCGGTTTACGCCGCGGCACGATCACACGGGACGGGAGCACGTCGGTGTCCGCGCAGTGTCTACGGAAGGAAACGTGGTCCGCGCGTTTCTCAGGTTAATGACGATGATGAAGGTGTGTGTTTGTGTGTGTGTTGTGTGTGTTTGTGTGTTTGTGTGTGTGTTGTGTTTGTGTGTGTGTGTGTGTGTGTGTTTGTGTGTGTTTGTGTGTATTTGTGTTTGTGTGTATTTGTGTGTGTGTTTTGTGTGTTTGTGTGTGTGTGTGCGTGTCCCTCTCATGTGGCAGGTCACTATAGGACAGTAGTGCAGACATCATGAGCCTATGCAGGTTGTTTTTCACCAGTGACATTTAAGTTGTAGGCGATTTTATATTTGTTATTTTCTTTTATATTTCACGTCGGGAGAAGAATTTCCAAGACACGAATGTGTTTTTACCTGTGCACTGCTGCTCTGTTCTACTGGCTCTTCCACCTCGTCCATTGTGCGACTGACGCCACCAACGTGAACGTTTACATCGCTCTTACTGCGCGCGTTTTGTGTGGGTTTCCAGCAATGAGTGGAATTACCGAAATAAAAAAAAATTATAAATGTGTTTTTGTGTGTGTGTGTGTGTGTTGTTGTCCCAACAACACATAAAAACAGATTTTATAATAAAGCAACTCACATACAGAAACAGTAAAGTTAGAGATTAAAAATGAGATTAACGCGATTAAAAAACATAACGCGCTAAATATGACTGTAATTAATTAATCGCAATTAACGCAATAATTTGACACCCCTAATTATCATTATTATTATTATTATTATTATAAAATGTCCCCCCTCTCTCTCTCTTTCAGCTGCAGAGTGATCTGGATCAAGAATACCAGGACAAGTTTCGGCGGTTGCCCGTGGAGATCCAGGAGTTTGTTCAGGACAGCGGTAAAACCAAGTTCTGCGATGACGCCAAACTCCCCTCCTCTTCCTCCACGTCGGAAAAACTCACCCACAAAATGTCACAATCCGAAGACGACACCGAAGAGGGCTCCACGGAAAAGGTCTACGACACGCCCCTTTAAGAGACTTGGTTTACGGACTGTACGGGGATAAATAATTGGGACTGCTGGATTTTATTTGGACGGTGCTATTTCTAACCGAGGAGAAGGATTGGTGATTGGTGATTGGGTGAGTAGAGGCCCACCGAACCTTGTAAATACTACTTTTTGTGTACTTGTATGTCCCTTAAAGTGCATATGACAGGTTAGACTACTCATTAATTTCACTATTTCTAACACATTATATTAGAGAAGATACTACTACTACTGCAAATCTTGCCTAGTATTTTTATTTTTTTTTATTTTATTTTGGTGAAGTTTATCATTCGACTTCTTGGTTGGACATGGACTGTAGATGTGGTAGAGATGATTCGATAACTGTTACTGCAACCATAATGTCAACAAGGGCCAAAACGTTTTAGCTGTTACCATAGACTGTAAATGAACATAGCTAAACCACCAGCCGTCGAGTTCCAAACAGGAAATAGTGAACATGGATGTGCTTCTGGCTCCATCGACTATGGCACCAATTGACTTTACACTGAAAAACTGTCACCCCTCTCTGTAACCGCTGCAGTGAGTCTTGCCATTTTACCGTATTTTCCGGACTATAAGTCGCTCCGGAGTATAAGTTACACCAACCAAAAAATTTGTAATGAATCACAAAATCACTAAATCTAAAAACTGAATTCTTCATCCTCGGTGTCACTTCTGAGCAACTTCACAACCTCTGGAGGTAAACAGAGTGCCACTTCCTCTTCTGTGTAGCTGTCGTCAGATTCAGCATCAGTTCTAGTTAGAATTTGTTGATCTAGGAAAGTTACGTTGCGCACCCTCCTGGTGACACAAGTTTCTCGCGCACTCCAAGCTTTCTTTCTGCTGCTTGATTACCATTTTCTGCTGCAGATTTCACTACTCGCAGTTTGTAATCTGCAGAATATGATTTTTTTTTTAGGGCATTTGTGTTCAGTCTCCTCAGTCGTCTTTATAAGTTTGTTTAAATTTACAGAAGTAATGGTGCGATCGACTGACATGGTACAGACAGGTACAGAGGCTCTTTCTGCAGGAGACATGCGCAGTAGAACCAAGTGACAATGGTACAGGAGGAATAGGAGTAGCAGATACTGACACACACAAGACTAGAGTTTATCGCCGCTTCAGTGTGAAAATTTGAATACATAAGCATATAGTATAAGTCACAGGAAACACCCAAACCATGAAAAAATAGTATGACTTATAGTCTGAACAATACGGTAGTCTTAAAATGTTTATATTAACCCGCTCTACATGATCCTGGTGTTTTATTTTGCTATTTTGTCTGTTAACATGTAAATTCTTATTCCTAAAATTGAACTGACTCCAATTTGCTCCTGTAACTGCTTGCCTGGTGAGCTTCATTTGACTGGAGCCTGACTCTATGGATGACAACACCTTTATTTTATTAAATGAAGGTTTAAAAAGTAGTTCTGTATATACATAGATATTCTGTTGTAAAACTGACTGCTACTTCTTGTATTTTTGTACTTTTCTTCTCTACTTTTTTTCCACACAATCTGCCACTTGACTATGATAAATATTCACCACAGATTCTCACCCACCAAACCAAGCAGTAAGTGTAAAACCATGCAGACCTGTCATATGCACTGAATTCAATGTTGTTGTCACAGGATATGTTACGAAGCACTAACTGTTTTGCAGGAATTTTATTTTACTTGAAGTATTGTTGCACAGAAGGCTAGTTATAGTTTTGATCATATTCATTTGATATGGTTTTCTTAAGGTTAGTGCTGGTCATGTGGTCAGTATGGTGGTGCCAAGGTTCAAAGTTACCACTGCATTTTAGCCTAAAGCTTCCATGTTTGAGTAAAGAGGAACATATGAGTCAGACCTGGTCCAGTTTAATGGTTATGGAACAGAAATACATGAAAACTTTAAATATCACATTCACTTTGGTAGAGTAGTTGGCATTTTGACTTAGTTCTTCTATCCAGTGATAAACAATAGGTGCACTGTGTAACTTTTCTTGTTGGGAGTGGGAAGTTATAGCTTTGCCTGGAATGTTTCACAGTATGGCATTAAAAAAGTATCTATCTTGCACCTGCTCAATTTCAGGTGGTTTAAATTGTAATGTGTTATTAATGAGACGGGGCTGCCTCTCTACAGATCTGACCTGTAACTTGTGGTGTTTTCATGGCGATAAATTAGATCAATGCCGTACTGCGGAACATTTCAGACAAAGCAATGACGTCTTCGTGGAGAGTAAGTAAACATGCCATCCGAAAATTACATAGTGCACCTTTAAAATGGACGAAATAAAATTATTAATTCATTATTATTCATTATTTATTATTTTTTATTTAAACCTGTGGTCATAAGTTCTGGGTAATGATTGAAAGGACGAGCTTGCGGATACAAGCAGACAAAATGAGTTTTCTCCGCAGGGTGGCTGGGTGCTCCCTTAGAGATAGGGTGAGGAGCTCAGTCACACGGGAGGAGCTCGGAGTAGAGCCGCTGCTCCTCCATGTCGAGAGGAGCCAGTTGAGGTGGCTCAGGCAACTATTCCGAATGCCTCCTGGGAGCTTCCCTTGGGAGGTGTTCCAGGCATGTCACACCGGGAAGAGGCCCCAGGGAAGACCCAGGACACACTGGAGGGACTATGTCTCTGGGCTGGCCTGGGAACGCCTCAGGGTCCCCCCGGAGGAACTGGAGGACGTGTCTGGGGTGGAGGAAGTCTGGGAGTCCCTGCTTAGACTGCTGCCCCCGCGGACCCGGCCCCGGATAAGTGGAAGAAATGACTTATGACTTATGACTTCTTACTTTAAAAAAAAAAAAAAATGTAGGGATGCACCAATACCAAAACTTGTATCGAATATCAGCAACAATACTGAAAAATTTGCCAGATCGGGTATTCATAATATGAGTCGATATCCTGATTCGGCCTTTAATTGGAGGCAATACGACTATTTACTGGATGATTTTGACCTAAAACATCTCAAAACTAACATAATATTTGAACTTTTATTCATATGAAGCAATTCTGTCATTTCTGTGAAGGATAAAAGAACAGTTACGTAACATAATTGGATTTCTTGTGTAATAAGTTAACTACGTTTTAAGGAATTAAGTGCCATTTTCTTTCCCTGCACTATCTGGTATCGGCAAGTACTATATTACTAAAAAGACAGTATCGATATTGGTAAAAGATCTGACAAAGCTGGATTGGTGCATCCCTACTTTCAATCAATCAAATTAAATATCTTAAATCTCGGCAAACTACTTCCACGGAAAACTAAAAACGTCTCTTCAGATCTTCTTAAATCAAAGAGTGCCGTAATTACTTCTGACGCATGATGTAGTTACAAATTACCAAATTAATAGATCCAAAATACATGGAATTCTAAGTAACATTTGTGTTTTCCAAGTATATTTTTCTTCCATGACCTGTAAGCTGAACCCTGGTCTGACGCTGTTGTATTTGCACTGAAGGCTCACTGTATCTCTGTGTATCTTTATTTGAACCTGAGGCACCGGTGGCTTCCTGGTTTCCATGTTTTTGTCACAGACTAAGCCCATGCGTTGCTGCTAATATGTTTTTAATATTACTACATTATTGTTTTGAATAGTTTGTATCATACGTTGGCATGACGATAATATGATGCACTGTTGTCATTTCAATACTTTGGCTGTTTCTTACTAGTTTTGGTGACACTTTATACTCACTGCTTTTTAATTAACCGTAATAAAACATGAACTAAGACTTAATTCATAATGTACAAAAGGTTTATTAACAATGATTCATGTTTAGTAACTCCTTAAAGATGCACTATGTAACTTTTCTTGTTTGGATGTGCTACCGGTTGGTTTCCATGGAGATATTTTTGCTTTCCATGGCAAGTTCAAACTTATCTATATTCTATTTGATCAATTACAGATATTTTATTACTCTAAAAGATCTTGAACCGCAGATCTCACCAGTAATTTGGGTTGGTAGCGTCATCTGCTTGTTTTCATGGTAATCTGTTTAATGGCATACTGTGGAACATTCCAGGCAATCCAATAACGTCCTCTTGAACAATTTGGAAATTATGGTAAAATTCCAGCCAAATTATAACCATGCGATTTTGATTCAATTGCGATGTTGATTCAGTTGCGATTTTGATTCAATTGCGAATTTTGATTCAATTGCGATTTTGATTCAATTGCGATTTTGATTCAATTGCAATTTTGATTCAATTGCGATTTTGATTCAATTGCGATTTTGATTCAATTGCGAATTTGATTCAGTTGCGATTTTGATTCAATTGCGAATTTGATTCAATTGCGATGTTGATTCAATTGTGATTTTGATTCAATTGCGATTTTGATTCAATTGCGATTTTGATTCAATTGCGATTCATCTTTCAGCCCTAATCACCATGGAGACAAGCAGGTGGTGGACCCTCCTCAAAAAGGAAAAGTTACATAGTGCACTTTTAATATAGACTTTTAATTTCGTAACTCCTCAATTAAATAGTTACTACGCCTGAATTTAACTATTTGTTCATTATGAGTTAAAGGTGCATTGTGTAACATTTCTGGTGGAGGGTCCATTACCTGCTTGTTTCTATGGAGATGTCATTGCTCTGCCTGGAATGTTCCACAGTATGAAGAAGCTCTATGTTACATTTATTAAGTTACAGCTGGTTTATAGCTCAGAAAAATACTAGTACGTAGAAAAACAGGCATTCTGACTGTGAGCGGGGTCGCCTCTCTGCAGATCTGACCTGTAACTTGGTCTGGTTTGGTCTCCATGAAGATAGAAAGTTTTAATACCACACTGTGAAACATTCCAAACAACGCAATAACGTCTCCATGGAGAAAAGCGTTTGATAGACCCTCCACCAGAAAAGTTACACAGTGCACCTTTACGTCTTCGTTCATGTTTTCAGGCTGATTAAAGTGTAGCTGTTGTAAAGTCGTACCATTGTTTTTGGGGCATTTTAACCCTGTGAGGAAATGAAGGGACGTTGTAAGTATTCGCATGTACTGAGGTGTAAATGTTACAATAGTTCTATAGCAGAGGCGTTTATTACTTGTAAATCTATTTTCTTGGACTTAACAGTGGCGTCGTGGCTAACAGGCTAACAGGCTAACGGGCTAACATGCTAGCACTACTGGGGACTGAACCTGGCGTGGTAGAGACAGGTTTGGTTCGTGTCCGTTTTCACCTGAACAAAGTCTTGCTGTAGTTTTTTAGAAGTCTTCCTTTTACACATGAGATCGGGCACATGGACCACAGGATCATATGAAGGAGAAAAATGTGCCACAAATGACTTCACTTTACACACGCTAATATGAGGAAGTAATCCAGTTATCCAGAGCTGATTTGAAGATATTAACTCTTGTATTCTGAAAACGGTGAAATTTGGTGACAGAAAAACAGGTGTTATGCTGCATTCTATTGAACGGAAGCCGAGACAACACACCAAAAAATCCACAACACACCAAAAAAAAAGTCACAACGGAAATGACTGCAAGACTCTATTTTAATGCAAATGCCACAACAAATACAAATGCCGCAACACATTAAAAAGCCACAACACATCAAAAAGCCACAACAGAAGTGACCGCGGGACTCTATTTTCTGACGGACCGATCAAGCGGCAAGTGAAGAAGAAGAACTACAACGTGAAACAAATAATGATAAAACAGTAAATTACTTACGTTTCCAACTTCTCCTTTACTTTTCACGTTGTAGTTCTTCTTTTTCACTTGCCGCTTGATCGGTCCGTCAGAAAATAGAGTCCCGCGGTCACTTGCGTTGTGGCTTTTTAATGTGTTGTGGCTTTTAATGCATTGCGGCGTTTGCGTTTGTGTTGTGATGTTTGTATTTGTTGTGGCGTTTGCATTAAAATAGAGTCCCGCGGTCATTTCCGTTGTGGCTTTTTTTGGTGTGTTGTGGCTTTTTGTTGTGTTGCCGTATTTGTATTTGTAACAGCGTTGGCGTTTGTTGTGACCCTTCTCGGCTTCCGTACTATTGTGCTCGTGAACTGGGAAAACTGACCTTCACCTCGAGAAAGTGCAATGGAACGGCCAATCAACTTGGGATTTTGAAACACAAACTCAGGCTAGTTCGGTGGAAACGAGTTGGTAGGATTTAGGTCACAGCAAAACTTATGACACACGGTAAATCGAGAGAATTGTCTTTTTGTCATTTTGATGTGTTAAGTCAGGGATCTCCATCCTTTAGCTCGGGAGTTACCAGAAACTCTCCACCCCCTTCCAAGTAGCTCACCAAGGGATTTCTAAATTACATGTAATATCTTAATTAAAATCAGATTTATTTCCACTGTAAATGTGTCATTTTGATTCCTAACTTGTGCACTAATAAATGGATAATGGTTCATTTTTTAATAAGCATCTAACTGTGCCCCCTCTAAAGCTTGCAATAATGCTTTTATGTTTTCAATTTTATGCAACCGCCAAAATGAGTAGCTCTCTGGTATGTTTGGAGGTAGCCAGAGGAAAAAGGTTGGAGACCCCTGTGTTAGGTTGTATGTGTTAGTGATGCGCAGATGGTCAGGCGGATGATGTGAATATTTTAATTCAATTTGGGTGGGTGGCTACTTGAATAGAAAACTCTGTGATCAATCGGCTGACAGCGGGCTGGTGCGATTTTGAAAATTGGTCAAAAACTGTGGTTGCAAAAAGGATAGCGGATAGATGATGAGTTTTGTGATGCTGTTGCGGAAGAAAAAATAGCTTATCCACGCATCTCTAATATGTGTAGAGAAAGTGTCCTCTAAAACTCTGTAGTGTCATTTACACTTTCTTTCACATCATTTGATAGTAGACACAAGTTTTTTTCTGAACATGTAAAATTCAAACTGCTGTAAGTGAGTCGCCAACAGCTAACGTTAGCTAATGGACTCTATTTATTAGCAGGAGGTAACAATACATTAAACTTTTTCGGACATCCATATTTTCCCCAACTGTTGCAATGGAACCGCATTTACAACATATGTTGAGAGAACTAACTCGGATTTATCGACTACCCACATTCAATAGAATGCAGCATTAGCATCATTTTTCCTTATGATGTAACCAAGATCAATTCAAGGCTTTGAGTATGATTTTCTCTGTCTTAAAAAACGTGAAAAACAGAACTTTGTGATGGTCCAAAGTTATTCCTCACTTACTTTACACATTCAGAGCACCCTAATTATTCACCATGATGGGTTTATAAGAGTTTTTCACAACTTCAGAGACCAGTGTCACGGTAAAACTAACAACAATTAGCATGCTAATGTGCACATTGAAATTTTGAACCTAGCTTTTTAGATAATGCAATTGAAATTTTAATTGTACCGTGTCAACAGTGTCAAAGATTCTGAGTTGAGGAAATGTTTATGACCTGTAAATATGTAAACATGCACACAAAATCCAACTTTTTGTTTTCACTCTAGTCCCAATGATTGACCACTAATCCAAGTCGAGACAGCTCTAAACTAACACTACCCTGTCAGTTATTTTAACAGAACCATAAATAAAACTGGATTGCTTCCTCTATTTAGTTCCCCAGAGGAAGTCATGTTTCCACTTCCTGTCTGTACAGTGCCATTGGAGGGTCATTCTAACTCTATAAAAAAACAGAAAAAAACGTACACGTGAAGGAAAATCCCAAATGTACAAATGACTTTTTCAGACGCTGAATATTGCCGTGAGTCCTGTGCCTTTGATAGGTTTGCCTTGTTTGTTGTTGAATGTGTGAAAAAGCATTATTGTTTAAGAATCGATGTCTGATACTGTAAGAATAGACTGTGCACTTTGAGTACCACTACTGAGTAAATGTGACGAGCAGTATTTGAAACTCATATTCGGACTTACTTCCTATATTTTTATGTCTTGATCGAAACCACTTTATTTATGGCTCCCTCTCTTCTGAGCATCTTAACTGTGTGCCCCTGGAACTGTTCATGTGTGTAAGAATTAAGGATAAAATAGTGTAAAAGGAAACTTGCCTGTAACTCAAATAAATGTGGCTATTATTATTGTACTACTCCCGACTAAAGTCTCATTAGTTTGCGTTGTGCTGTGTGTGTTTTGTATGTGGGACTCTTTTATAGGGACAGTTCGGAATTTTTGATATAGGGCCCAAATTCCTAGTGATCCAGAGTGTTGGAGAAGTGTGGAGACACTGTCCACTAAAAACAGTCTTACCCACTAAACAAAACACCCGAAGCAAATCTGTTATTACACCAGACTGTCCATGTGAATGTCTGGGTCAATAGAATAATTTTAGAAGTAAAACCTACCTTGTATTTGAAGGATTTCTGTCTGAGCAGCAGCAGTAAGTTGTACTTCCTGATAGAAAGCTCGGCAGCGGCGGACTGATATATGAGAAAATAGTCCCTCAACATGCGACGATTCATGCAATGCAAGGTTAGTTTTATTTCAAACATCTATGTCCAAAATTCTATACTGTCCCTTTAAAGCTGCAGTATGAATGATGATGATGATGATATGATGATGATGATGATGGTGATGATGATGATGATGGTGATGATGATGATGATGGTGATGATGGCTGATGAATCTTGCATGTATTCACTCACATTTTATTGGCCATAAACAATTCCGGGGAAGTTACTTTAAAAAAGTAGTGTTTGCTCATTACTCGTTACTTCTTTAAAGAGTAATCCCTTACTTTACTTAGTTACCTTCTATGGAAAGTAACTTTTTATGTTACTTGTTACTTTGGTAAGTTTTTGGAGGTAAACTCCATCTAAGGCTAAATACGGGCACAAAACTGATAGTCGACATGTACTGTAAGGGAAAGCTGAGAAGAACTTTGAAGAGAGAGTTCAAGAGGACGTTAAGAGGTAAACTGGGCAGGCAAGGGACGGCTGCCAAGTGCACTTCCTCCGTGGCGATGCGCCGCGACCGGCTCTGGGTTGGCCAGGAAAGTCTTGAGGTGAAGGTGGCATGACGCCCAGGCTGCGTGCTTTGCAGCTTCTCTCGCTGGTCCTCACTGCTTCCTGGGGCCGTGGGATCAGTGTCCCCTGCACCCACGTACACAGAAAATTAGCGCCGAAATTGAAAAGTGAGCTACATTTTGTTACCAAATTTTCTGTAATAGCGCATTACACTATTTTTACCTGAAAAAAGTACTTACGTTACTGTACCCAACACTGGCCATATATAATCAAAAACATGCATTCTTACAGCGAGCAGGGTCGCCTCTCCACAGATCTGACCTGTCACATAGCCTGG